GGGGCAAAGAAGAGTAAGCCCTTCACTTTAAAGGTATTTCCCAGAAATTACATGCCATTTCCAATTACATTCCATTAGCAAAAATTAGTCACCTGTGCATACTTAGGAGGCCTGGGAAACATAATTATTATTCTCTTCAAAAAAAAAGAATCCATTTTCTCCATTCACTTGAATGTTGTAACCTGGCTTTCACAGGTCACAGGTAGATGAAGGGAATGCAGAAAGGAGACTTGACCCTGAAAAAACTCATCGAAATCTTCTCTTTTTGTGTCTCCCCAAACCAGAATACAGTATCACCTGTTCTCATATCATTCTTTCTCAAGCAAGTCATGATTGCTTGTCAGTCCTCATTGAATGAGGGAGTGGGAGGCTCTTCACTAGGCTCTTTGCTTTGCATATAAAAAATATCAAGAACAGCCGCTCTAAGTAAAGACATGCACAGACATCAAAATGAAATAAGGACTTGCCAGCTTTGCAAGACTATTTTCCCCTTGTCAGCATCTTCTAATTTGTGGTTGTTTGGTTTTTTTCCTGGGCCTAATAAATTACCTACCTTGAGAATTTCCTTTATGGTGCTGGATCATTCTTGCTTTAGTCATCATCTGCACTGCAATGCTTTTGCTCCAGGTGTGGGGACTCTGTAAAACCGGGATGCATCTCATACTTGGAGCCCCCCCATGATTGCCAACATAGTCAACAAATTTTCCAAGCCAAAAATCAGGACATACTGTCTGATGTCAAAGTCAAATTTAGGGAGGCAACAAAATAGAATTTTAAAGTCATTTGTGAACAAGAAAAAATAAAATATGATCACCATAATCATAGAAGACCTTAAGAAAGCCTATTGACCCACACTGTACCCCACCTTGCTCGAAGAGCAAGATATAAAAGGCCATTTCCCTTTCTATTTTCAGAAGTTTTTTATAGTCACTTTAATTCAGGGGCCAGCAGCTTCCAGTCCAAGAATGCAAATGATAACAAGAGTTGTTGTTTATCTTGTTTCATCACTAGATCACATCTCTGAACACATCATAAACCCTTTCACCATTAGGGATTTGCTGTATCCATTTGCTTGTCTATAGAAGTAGCTTCTGTCTTCCAGTTCGTGCTGCTAATCCTTCCCAGTGATACTGGTAGTCACACTCAGGCTTTGGCAAGTGATGTCCATAGATGCTGTTTAGAAACATTAATTAGAAGGGGGGGGGGAGAAGTGGCAGAAAGAAGTGTCCTAGAAAGGGAACTTGAGGTTAAGGAAAGAGAAAAATGAAGAATGAGAGAAGAGAAAGCAGGACTTCCATGCGAGGTGCCACCAGCAATTATCTGTTCATTCAGGGTTTTGTATCATCTGCCTCTATTCACTGGAAAATCACTGAATGTTTTGCTTTATTTTATAATCACAATTTACTCTATTTCCTTTTAACATGATAAGAGTAGAACAATGTAAGATTTTCTGTAGAAAGAGTCACTCTATTGTTTATTTAGCCTTGATCAGAGATAAATGGACCACACAGAAATGTTTGCGATATTTATTGCCACTTTCTCATGACCATATTTTCCCACATCAAAAAAAAGATCAAGATCTCAATATCCATTTACAAATATTAAGTAAAGAAGAGATGCTAACTTGTTTATCCATGATGTACTGCATTAATCTCTAAGAAAATATGTGTTTATTGGGGCCTCCCTGGTGGCGCAGCGTTTGAGTGCTGGGTGGCAGCCTCTACAGCGCTGGTGCCATCCCCGGCCCCGTCTGAGGGTCCCACATGGCGCATGGACCTCTCCTGCTGCCCGCTGTTCCCCTCAGCAGTGTACTTCGTCAGTCTGCCTGCTCTGCTCTCCTTTCTGACTCTGGTGAATTCTCTCACCCTACCCCGCTTCTGACTGTACCCAGTGCTTGCATAAATAAATAAATAAATCTAAAAAAAAAAAAAAAAGAAAAGAAAAAGAAAGAAACCTTAAAAAAAAAAAAGAAAATATGTGTTTATTTCCAGGCTGAAAATAAGCCACTTAAAGTTCAGAAAAAAGAACACTGTGTATGTTTAATTTACAAAAATTATCATTCATTTCATCTTTTAAGTTAATTCATTAATGGCTTTTAAAAGGTTCTTCTGTTGCTCTGCTTATCCTTAGGTAACATCATCTTACATGAAATGCTATTTACATAATAAAGCTAACTAAATATTGAATACTTGATTCAAATAATCTTGTAGATTTTGAAGTAAATATATATAATTCATGTTTTCAGCTCTTGCCAGTTTTGCATTTTGTTTAGCATAAAATAACTACCCAAGATTCAGTTGCTTCAGAAAGTTTGAAGCATTATTTCATATTATTTTATGAACTGAGATTCTTTCGGGAATAAACCTATGAGTTATTAAGTGACTATATTCCTATTGGATTTTTATATTTAAGTTCATATTTAAAAGATAACAATGTTTTCAATGGGACTGGTTTTATATGAAGACCTCCTCATGCTTTGGATTTTTCCATCTAATTTAGTTTGTGCCACAGTTTTGCTAAAAGTATGTATTTAACTTTCTTAATTCCGTCTTTGCCACAGCCTAGCCTTAGGATTATAAATTTATACAAAGTAATCCTAAGGCATTTTATGTTAAAATATCCTTTTTCATTAGTCTCTCTTCAGGGGGCAAGTTTTCATATATAGGTTCTTCCTGATCCTTAGGTATCAAGCTCTGCTTTCCTGTCTATCTCTTCAAGTGTCAGTTTCTTTTTCTCCTTCAGACACATCATTCTTTGTCTAGATATACTGTAGTCAGAAAGTCAGGTAAACTCCTCAAATTTTCTTTCAGGGCAGGTAGAAATTCAAAGGGTGGGCTAGTCCTCGGTAGGTTGTAGAAGAGTCAGAAGGAGAAGCTAACAAGTAGCTGAAGGAGCATTCACCTGCCTGCATCCTGCCTGGCCCTGAAAACCACTGGTCCATGGAATCATGAGAGATAAAGTCTCTTCCTTCCTTGTCTCTGACTTTTCCCTTGTCACATGACCCTCTTTTCACTTAATTAATGTGATTTGAGTGGCAGCATGGACCACTCTGGAAAATTTTGATGCATTTGTTCATTAAATATTTACTGAGTTTTCACTATCAGCCAAGCACATTGTTGGGTGCTCGTGGGGTAAATAAAAGTAACTGCACTCTAGGGCTCATAATTTAGTAAATAAACCAATTTTGAAAGACTTCATTTGATTAAAACCTCCCATTGGTTTTCTTAAGGTCAGTTTCGAGAAACATAAAGACTAGAAGGAAGAAAGGAGTTTCATCAAGCAGGGACAGAGATTTTTCACATTGTCAGGAGTAATTCCTACCTGCAGCGCATGCCAGGGAATAGAAAAGATCTGACTTCTCAAAAGTTCATGTCTTTCTTCATTAGGCCACATACAGGTGTTTTATTTTGATGTTATTGTTTTCAATTACACAATTTATCTCTCCCTGTACAGTATTTGTGATATTTTGGAAAGTCACTTTGACTTTTCAGGACAACTCTTCATGTGACAATTTTTGTATTATAGGAAGCTTTAAAAAAAAAATCCAGCTGTCATTCAGCTGCATAGAACACACTCTGCTAGAGTCAAAAGAAAAAACTCTGATGGATAGAATATCAGCCTCTGTTACTAAGCCATGGGGATAACCTGTGCTCAGAAAGAATTACTTCTCATGGATGGAGCAGCCAGAGTCACTTGTCTCCAAGGCTCAGCTGACCCACAGATTCAGGACCTTCATGTCCTTAAGAACTTTCAGTGGCCTTTCTTTTGGCCTTCTTGTCATCATTTGTGAGCATTTAATCAGAAACCTTTAAATGAGGAAGAGGAGGTGCCTCCTTGGTGGCACAGGGGTTAAAGTTTCAGCGCTATCAAGCTTGCCAGAACTGTGGCATGATTTCGATCCCTACATGGGTAGCTAACCCAGATGGCACAACAGACCTCTCCTGTCTCACCTGCTGCTTCCCTCAGCAGTGCATTTCAGTGGATCTGTCTGTTCTGCTCTTCACTGTCACTGGTGAATCCTCTTACCCCATGCAGCTCTCACCTACACCTCAGAGATTCTTGTATGCATAAATAAATGAAATAAATATTTAAAAAAAAAAGCAGGAAGAGGAGTTGCCATGATATTTCAAACTAACCAATTCAAGTTGATTTGTTGTGCAACAGTACCCTGTTTGTTAAAGGAAACTCTTCATTCTCTGATATAAGTGCATAAGCCAGCTTTCTCTGTGTCTCTGATTTATTTACCACACTGTCAGTCTTTTCAATTCTAATATCTGGTGGGAGGGGGGGTAGTGGATTGTTTGCGTGCTGCAATTGTTACCACAGCATTCTAACAAGAAAATGTACAACAGAAGATAGACATATACTACAGTTATAAAGTGCCAGTAGCCTCTTTTATTTAATTATTTTTTACTCACATTTCACATTTTCACTCCCATGTGTTTACATGGCTGGCTTGATGCTACAAAGGGGGATGTCAAGGTGACTAAGAGGCAGGCTGGCCTTCCAGGAACTGAAACTAAAGGGAAAGACCAAGACAAGCAATCCTGAGAGCTAAGAGCATGTGCAATAGATGCTGTGGAAGCAGGGAGGGGCGGTAAGGCAGCAAACAGTATCAGCAACACCTCCAGAGAAACTGAGTCCTTCAGATGTCAACTTTATGAATAACACCAGAGAAGCAAAGGGAAGATACATGTAGCTATTAGCATGGGGGTTTAGGGGGGCTGGATTTCCAAATAATTTTCAGTTTAGCTTTTTATAGTTTCCTTTTTCAGGTTTACTAGCTTTCATCTCTACTGTGTCTCTATCAAATTTGGAGTCAGCTTTCCCAACCTATGGAAGTTAACAATGTTTTTCCAACAATGCATTAAAATTTAGTGGTAAATTCTTTTGTGAGAAAACCAACACAGTTGCCGACAGCACACTCAAAAAAGAGCAATAGCTGTCGACCAAGAGACGTGTGTTAACCATTCCCCTCACCCTCATCTTTATTCCCCCAGGTCTTCGTGGAGCGAGTCTGGGACCTGACCACCGCATGTCCATGACTCCTGTGGCTGCGCCCCATCAGCAATGAAAGGCTTATCGGGCAGCCGCAGCCATCACCACGGAGTCACCTGTGATTCTACCTGCGACTCGCTGTCGCACCACTCGGACCGGAAGCCATACCTGCTGAGCCCCGTGGAGCACCACCCGGCCGACCACCCCTACTACACGCAGCGCAACTCCTTCCAGGCCGAGTGCGTGGGCCCTTTCAGCGACCCTCTGGCCAGCAGCACCTTCCCGCGTCGCCACTACAACTCCCAGCAGGAGCTGAAGGACGAGTGCGCCCTGTTGCCCCGCACACTGGCCACCAAGGCCAACCGCATTCCCGCCAACCTCCTGGACCAGTTTGAGAGGCAGCTGCCGCTCAACCGGGATGGCTACCACACGCTGCAGTACAAGCGCACAGCCGTGGAGCACCGCAGCGACAGCCCGGGCCGCATCCGCCACCTGGTCCACTCGGTCCAGAAGCTCTTCACCAAGTCGCACTCCCTGGAGGGGCCGTCCAAGGGCAGCGTCAACGGGGGTAAGGCCAGCCCCGACGAGACGCAGACCGTGAGGTATGGCAAGCGCAGCAAGAGCAAAGAGCGGCGCGCAGAGCCCAAGGTCCGGCCCAGCACCTCCCCAGGCTGGTGGAGCTCTGACGACAACCTAGACGGCGACATGTGCATCTACCATGCGCCCTCAGCCGTGATGACCATGGGCAGGTGCCCCGACCGCTCGGCCTCGCAGTACTTCATGGAGGCCTACAACACCATCAGCGAGCAAGCGGTGAAGGCCTCGCGCAGTAACAACGACGTCAAGTGCTCCACCTGTGCCAATCTGCCGGTCAACCTGGACACGCCACTCCTGAAGAAGAGCGCCTGGTCCTCCACCCTGACCGTGAGCCGGGCCCGGGAGGTATACCAGAAGGCCTCAGTGAACATGGACCAGGCTGTGGTGAAGTCAGAGTCGTGTCAACAAGAACGTTCCTGCCAATACCTTCAGGTACCATTTATATAGTGATGATGGATGCTGATTGTCTCTGCCAATTGTGTGGCATTTTCTCTTGGTCCTAGTCTTGGTCCAACTATGAATTATCTGAGAAAATCATTTAGCGTTGCTGTAGCTGAGTGCTGTTATCAAAAAACAAACTGGCTACCAACTTCATCCAGTTATCTTGAGAGACTAGATAGAAAAGTACTTTGAAAAGCACACCCACATGAAGGCAAGGAGTTGTTAAAGTTTTGTGTTCCTCTTTTGTCTGAGGGATGATGGAATAGGAGGAGAGAAAAGGGAAATCTACACAGGATTTTAAAATAAATCCACCTATTTACAAAAGTCAACCAAATCTTTTGAATTTTGGAGTTTAATTATATCTATCCAGTGGTGGTATTATAATTATTGTTGTTGTAAAATTCTGCCTGAGGTTATTTGTTTGGGAAAATTGACCTATGTCTTCACCATTGCAATTGCTATCATCACCACCAACACTAACTGCACCCCCACCTGAGCCCCCAGAGCACAGCAAATAGTGGCAATGTCCTGGGCCCTGAGGAGGTGGGGAGGCAGCCAGTTTGGGGACCTGACAAGCACAGCTGCAGAGACCCAAGGCGACAGAAAAGAGGAGGAAAGAGGGGGAAGCATCTGCACAATAAAATACAATTAGTGTCAGCATGTAAATCCCACACACGTACAGACCCGAGGCAGGTTGCTCCTCCCCTCCCACAGCCTCCTCATGCTTTTCCTACTGCCCTCCAACCCACTTAAACCAGATTTCACCTAGATTCAAATATCAGGGCCAGAGTTTATTTCTTCTCCATTTCCTCCCTCTAGTTTTGTCATTTTCCCAAAGATACAACCCTCCATAAGAAGGACCCTCATGTTTTTCCTTTTCAGATTACCTTTTTGCTCTGTTCTCCTCTGGTAGTCCCATCGTTTAAAGGAGTTTTTAATGGAATATAACATAATCATTTTCCAATTTCAACTTAAGAAGAATGTAAGAAGAAAGTCTTTCCCAGAGATGTTAATCTTTTTTTCTCTCTTTGAAATCCTCCTGACAAACCTTGTTCTCTTGGGAATGCTTCCACCAAGTCCTGAGAATATTCCAGGCAAGCAACCAGGATATATTGCCAGAGCTCATCCACAGAGTTCAGAAGCCACCAACATGAATGGGTGGTTTTCACAAACATACTCACATGGTCAGTATCTTTCCCTGAAAGTGGTATTTTCCCATTTACCATAAGATTACTACATGTGTCAATTAAGTCATCAAGAAATAATAATAGAATTTTAGAATTAAAGAGATCATCTGATCCAACCACATCAATTAGTATTTTTAAAAAATAAAGAAAGGTAAAGGCATGGGTTATATTATTAGTATGTGGCAATGATAGGACTAGAATCCAAGTCTCTTAATTTATAGAAATGACCATTATAAGGTCACAACTGAAGGCTTTAGAAATCCTTTAAACTCATAAATATCATCCACCACTGAGAATAAATTCTTTTGATAAAAATACCTGTCTTAAAGGAAGGTTGGGTATGAAGAAATGGAAGCCCTAGAATGAGATACTATGACTAGTGGCAAAAAAAAAAAAAAAAAAAAAGGATTTAAAAATAAACCAACCCTGAATCTTAATAAGTAGTGGTGAGATTAGTTATAAATATCAGATTAAGGAAGGACAGATTAATTCTACATGGACTAGAACCAGCCTTTGTTAGTAACAGAATGTTTTCATTGCACTTGCATAATTGCCTACATTCTTCCTACCTTAAATTCATCTTTGCTTTTTTTATACCTGTATTAAGTGAAAATGTCAAGTAGTGGTGAAAATTGAAAGGATAAGGAAAAAAGAAAACTGGTATTAATTGAAAATCTAGTATGTACCAGATGCTGTAGTAAGCATTTTTATATTCGTTATTTCATTTAATCTCATAATCCTAAAAGCTAGATATAATAATACTGTTTTAACATTAGAGGAAACTGAGACTTAGAGATAGCTGGTGCTTCAAAGCCACGTGACCAGTATGTTACAGTACTGAGATTCAAACCTTTATCTGTTTGATGCATAATAGCTCTTTCCAATAAACCCAATTGTAGGAGGCAGGACAGGCCACTGAGCAGGTTCTCTGATCCAGCAGACCGGGTGAAGGAGAGAGTCCTGGAGCCCTCAGTGGTTTTTTGCAGGCTTTTATTGGGATTTACCAGGTACATGGCAGGTAGGGAGGCTGGGGGGCTGGGAGGCTCCTAGCCCATGGCAAGTCTTCACTCCAGGCTCTCCAGCCTTCTTTCGCGTTCTCTCTCATGGCTCTACTTCTCTCTTGGCTTCTCTGCTCCTGCTGGCATCCCCGTGACGCCGCCCTTAAAAACCCAGTCTTAGCCCAGGTGAATCCCATCTACCTATGCCCATACCCTATTCCATCAGGCATGCATTCGGGACCACAGGGTTCCATCATCTATCTTAATGGCGGGAGGGCAGCAAAGCCTGATACTTTTTACCTTACCCTACACCAATACAACCTTGGAATGAAGGCCATGAAAATGGTGAGCAAGGAGGGAAATAATCCTTAAAGTAAATCTATTATTATTAAAGTTCTTCAGTAAAATGAAAATGAAAGCTTGAAGATTTAAGTATGGCATTTGATGTGGTAGCATTATTGAATCTCATGTTACAAAGATTCGGAAATTCTATTTTTGAATTATTTATCTTCTTTAACAGATATTAACATTTGTTGAGCCCCTATTATGTGCAAGTCAATCAAACTGAAAAAAAAATTCTATATTTCAAGGTGGAGAGGTAGTACGTTTACTAAATAAACTAAATTTAGAACATTGTGTTCCTTCCTACCAGCTTGTGGAGTCAAACACTTTCTCTAAAGAATGGACATTCATAGGAGGAAGGAGAGTGGGAAACGCCTGTGAACTGGAAGTTATTTCCAGCTCTCTCCTTACTTTGTAGGAAAAGAAGGAATTTCCATCCTGCAAAAGATCCTCTCCAAAAGATAGGTTTACCAAGCCCCTGCCAGTTCCCATGGATAATTTTATTTCTAAGCTCATTCATTAAGAGCTTAAAAATTTGCTTTCAAAGCAAATTTGGGGAATTGGAGCAGCCACGATTGCTTTAACTACCAACCAGTATTGCAACTGGAATTGCAAATTTGTTCAGTTTCAACAAGGTTTAATGGACAAAGCCCTGACCTTTAAATAAGAGGATCTGTGTTTTAGTTCTCTTTGACATTAACTGGTGATACACCAACTAGTTGGTGATTAGTCACTAACCAGTGATTATTCACTAACTAGTGATATGACTTGGAACCACCATTGCAGTTGTCTGGATCTCATTCCTCTGCTATAAAATAAGGCACTTGGTCTAGAAATCCTGTGATCTCAGTCTACATCTTTAAACTTCTAAGTTACATATGCAGAGTATTTAATTAGAGCAATTTTCAAGATTTGTAAGGCCTGGAGCTCTCATTTAATAAATGCCTAATGAAAGTAGGTATTTTTTTCAATTTGTTCTTTAAAACTCTATGAGGCATTTTAAGTTGAAGAAACTGAGATTTAGCAAATCAAGTTAAGCAACTTGCCCAAGGATATGGAGGTAGTGCATGGCAACATGGTGGGTGAAAACTGATTCAACTGTCTTCTAAGCCTGAATTTTTCCATTTACCACACCTGAACCTTGCCTAAACACAAAACAGAGAGGAAGTAGCATACATCAAACACCTGTTATGTGCCACAAATTATACAGTGTCTCATTTAGTAACTAAAACTTTGGAAAGTATATTATTTTTCCCATTTTTGCAGATGAGAAAACTGAGGCACAAAAGATTAAATCATTTTCCAAGAGCACATAGATAGTAAGTAGAAGAGCTAATACTTGCCCCCAGATCTGAATCTATACTATCCTTCAAATAAAGAAATAAGTGCATTTTTCATTTCATTACTTATTTTGTTCTGGAACAAATGTATTCAGTCTCTTACATGCGTAAGTGAAGAATGCCTTATATGAAATGTGACCCACCTTACACAAGCTATGGAATGACTGATATGTTTCTAATTTGATTCAAGGCTGAACAGAAGTTAAATTAATGCTTACCAATAATAGAATCTAGGTATTTGCAAAGTTCTGATTCTCCCTTTGAGGAGTTATCACTTAGAATTCATTTAATTTAGGTCATTGCTACACTGTATAGAAAATGAGAGGTCTATAGATATTTAGCTTCTGTCTGACATGGATTTAGAAATAAAATACTGTAGCTTGAAATTATTGCAAGTTCCAGTAAATACAGTCAATTGGGCTGTGTGCTCACTCACAAGCTGTTTGTAGTTAATAAAAAAAAAAGACTCTCTTTTTTTCCGATATTGTTATTTTTAAATGTCAAGAATCAGATGTCTGCTGTTTAGAACTATTGTACCGCTGCCAGTGACTGTCTGTATCAGGGTTTGGAGCAGGGACATGGATTTGAAGACATTAAAACTGTTTAATTCTCAGTTGAGATGTGGTTGGCTTTTATACATTTGGAATAGAGCATTTATGGCACATCTCAGGGTAAGTGCTAATAGTTAAGTAAATAAAATAGGAAGGGATTCAAAGGAGTAAAAGGAGTTTTTGTTGTTTTGTTTTTGCTTAAAGCAAGCAGGATTCTTGGTTCTGTATATGCTTCTTTATGTAAATGTTGTGTGTTGAATGATTGGCATACAAAGCCATTCAGAAGAGCAAGATTTTAGATTTCCAACTGTTAACCTTAAAAAAAAACAAACCCTTCAAATCATGTATTTTGCATTCATCCAGCAGCAGAAACAGGAAAAGGGAAACAAAACGCTCTCCGGTAGAAGTAGAAAGACACACACAGAGAGAGAGCAAGACAGAGACCGAGAAAGAAAGCACTCTCAGAGATGAAATTTTAGGAGAGCAAAATGATCGACCTTTTTAAGGCTGAATGGGTTTCTTCAGTTTGTGTGCAAGTTTCAAGAAATGGAAGGACTGACCAGGTTTGGGTAT